CAGCAAAACAAACAGTCATTAGAGTGAATTGACAACCAACAGAATGGGAAAAATTTTTGCAATCTACCCATCTGACAAAGGGCTAATATCCAGAATCTACAAAGCACTAAAACAGATTTACAAGAAAAAAACAAACAAGGCCATTCAAAAGTGGATGAAGGATACGAATGAACTGACAGTTTACAAAAGAAGACATATATGAGGCCAACAAACATATGAAAAAATGCTCATCATTATCGGCCATTAGAGAAATGCAAATCAAAACTACATTGAGATACTACTATCTCACGCCAGTTAGAATGGTGATCATGAAAAAATCTGGAGACAACAAATGCTGGAGAGGATGTGCAGAAATAGGAACACTTTTACACTGTTGCTGGGAGTCTAAATTAGTTCAACCATTGTGGAAGACAGTGTGGCGATTCCTCAAGGACCTAGAAATAGAAATTCCATTTGACCCAGCAATCCCATTACTGGGTATATATCCAAAGGATTATAAATCGTTCTACTATAAGGACACATGCACATGAATGTTCATTGCAGCACTGTTTACAATAGCAAAGACTTGGAACCAACCCAAATGCCCATTGATGACAGACCTGACAGGGAAAATGTGGCACATATACACCATGGAATATTATGCAGCCATCAAAACAATGGGTTCATGTTCTTTGTAGGGACATGGATGAACCTGGAAACCATGATTCTCTGCAAACTGACACAAGAACAAAATCAAACACTGCATGTTCTCACTCACAGGTGGGTGTTGAACAATGAGAACACATGGACACAGGGAGGGGAGCACTACACACTGAGGTCTGTCAGGCAGAAATAATGAAGGGACAGTGGGGAGTGGGGAGTTGTGGAGGGATAGCATGAGGAGAAATGCCAGATATAGGTGATGGGGAGGAAGGCAGCAAACCTCACTGCCATGTGTATACCTATGCAACAATCTTGCATGTTCTTCAGATGTACCCCAAAACCTAAAATGCAATTTTAAAAAAAAAGACACCTGAAAGAAAAAAAAAGAAATATAGTGATGCCATGAAGGGCTTTATGAAAAATAAAATGATTAGAATATGGTTAAAAGAAAAAAGATTTGCATCATGATCAGTCACCAGTTACACTACTTCTTTCAAAGTTTGTTGGTGATTCATTACTGATCGTCTGTTCAGTTCATCCACAGATAGCAAAACACGAAGTACATAGTTGTGTTGTCTCCTTGACTGAGGTCAGTCTCTGACTTGGTCAGAGATTAAACTCATGACCATTTACAAAAATGGATAATCAAAAGAGGTAATTGGTTAACAAAGGACAGGGCAGCAAAGAAAAGTGATAATGCTGGAAGTGAAATTGGATGTGATCAGAAGATTTGAAAGTGGTGACAGCAATGCAAAGCTAGGTTGAGATCCAGACCTGCATGAAGCTGTAAAGGAACCTGTTGAAAAAGTCTGACAAATGTAAAAAGGTAAAGTTGCTTCAACGTCTTTCAGTTTTAATTGTACTAGGAACAGAAACCTGCTGTGGTTGAAACGGAGTATTTACTTATTCGGATTGAAGACTAATGAAAAAGAAATCTTAAACAGTTTGACTAGCATTTAGGCCAAAGCAGTAACTTAGTTACTGCATTGAAAGAAAATGTAATTACAAGAAGGCTAAAAGAGAATACATTACTACCAGTAAAAGCTGGGTTCATCACTTCAGAAGTTGTCATAAATTGAAGTTAAGCTATCTCATGAAGCTGCAAGCTTCAGATGGAATGTTACAGAAGATATAGCTGACTGTAGAAATGTTGACACTGCTACTGTTCAAGAGGCAGTTCTAGATATGTAGGCAGAGGAACTTAGAGTCAAAATTATAGACATAAATTAAGAAAGTGATTGTGACATAAAGAATGGCCATGTCTCAGGAAGTGACGCCAGCAAAAAACTTAACATTAAAGGAGCTTTCAGATACTTCATTACATTGAAAACGCAAAGAATAAACTTTTGGAAGCTGATCCAAAGTTAGGAAGGAGTAAGACAATTTGAAAAAGCATAGAAAAAATGCTGGTTAGTAAGTTACATGATAAGACAAGCACTGTTCAAACTACGCTTGATAAATTATAAATAAATGTTTTAGTGTTTCAATGTTTCTAATATTTTTAAATGACTAAAATTTAGTATAATAAATATTAGTTTTACATTATTAGAAATAATATAATTTTTTAAAATATTTATAACCAACAGGAGGAGAGGTTTGTTTTGTTTTGAGATGGTGTGTTGCTCTGTCACCAAGGCTGGAGAGCAGGGGTGCCATCTCGGCTCATTGCAACCTCTGCCTCCTGGGGTCAAGTGATTCTCCCACCTCAGCGCCCCCCAAGAAGCTGGGACCATAGGTGTGCGCCACAATGCCAGGATAATTTTTTTGGGTGTTTTTAGTAAACACGGGATTTTGCCATGTTGCCCTGGTCCTGAGCTCCGGAGTTCAAACAATCCGACTGCTTCGACCTTCCATAGTGCTGGGATTATAGGCATGAGCCACGGTACCCGGCCAGGAGAGTTTTTAATCTGGCAAATTTTAAAGTCACAGAACAATAATAAATGTTTGGATAGATTAAGATTACATTGCATAGTTTCAGTTTGCATGCTCAAGGCCAGGAATCCTTCTATGTAAAACAAGCTAGGGAGTCTGCATATTTAACCAGATATAAAAATGCACATCAAGTCTACAAACAGCTATATATATATATGTTTTTTTACTGCATTTTAGGTTTTGGGGTACATCTGAAGAACATGCAAGATTGTTGCATAGGTATACACATGGCAGTGAGGTTTGCTGCCTTCCTCCCCATCACCTATATCTGGCATTTCTCCCCATGTTATCTCTCCCCAACTCCCCACCCCCAACTCTCCCTCCATTATTTCCCCCTGACAGACCTCAGTGTGTAGTGCTCCCCTCCCTGTGTCCATGTGTTCTCATTGTTCAACACTCACCTATGAGTGAGAACATGCGGTGTTTGATTTTGTTCTTGTGTCAGTTTGCAGAGAATCATGGTTTCCAGGTTCATCCATGTCCCTACAAAGAACATGAACCCATCGTTTTTGATGGCTGCATAATATTCCATGGTGTATATGTGCCACATTTTCCCTGTCAGGTCTGTCATCAATGGGCATTTGGGTTGGTTCCAAGTCTTTGCTATTGTAAACAGTGCTGCAATGAACATTCATGTGCATGTGTCCTTATAGTAGAACGATTTATAATCCTTTGGATATATACTCAGTAATGGGATTGCTGGGTCAAATGGAATTTCTATTTCTAGGTCCTTGAGGAATCGCCACACTGTCTTCCACAATGGTTGAACTAATTTAGACTCCCAGCAACAGTGTAAAAGTGTTCCTATTTCTGCACATCCTCTCCAGCATTTGTTGTCTCCAGATTTTTTCATGATCACCATTCTAACTGGCGTGAGATAGTAGTATCTCAATGTAGTTTTGATTTGCATTTCTCTAATGGCCGATAATGATGAGCATTTTTTCATATGTTTGTTGGCCTCATATATGTCTTCTTTTGTAAACTGTCAGTTCATTCGTATCCTTCATCCACTTTTGAATGGCCTTGTTTGTTTTTTTCTTGTAAATCTGTTTTAGTGCTTTGTAGATTCTGGATATTAGCCCTTTGTCAGATGGGTAGATTGCAAAAATTTTTCCCATTCTGTTGGTTGTCAATTCACTCTAATGACTGTTTGTTTTGCTGTACAGAAGCTGTGGAGTTTTATTAGCTCCCATTTGTTGCCAATGCTTTTGGGGCTTTAGTCATGAAGTCCTTGCCTATGCCTATGTCCTGAATGGTTTTGCTTAGATTTTCTTCTAGGGTTTTTACGGTGTTAGGTCTTATGTTTAAGTCTTTAATCCATCTGGAGTTAATTTTAGTGTAGGATGTCAGGAAGGGGTCCAGTTTCTGCTCTCTGCACATGGCTAGCCAGTTTTCCCAACACCATTGATTAAACAGGGAATCCTTTCCCCATGGCTTGTTTTTGTGAGGTTTGTGAAAGATCAGATGGTTGTAGATGTGTGGTGTTGCCTTCAAGGCCTCTGTTTTGTTCCATTGGTCTATATGTCTGTTTTGGTACCAGTACCATGCTCAAACAGCTTATTTTAATCCTTATGGTATTCAGTTATAATTTAATACTTTTTTTTTTTGAGACAGGATCTTGCTCTGTCACCCAGGCTGGAGTGCAGTGGCATGATCTCCACTCACTGCAATATCCACCTTCTGGGCTCAAGCAGTCCTCCTACTTCAGCCTCCTGAGTAGGTCGGACTGCTGGTAGGTGCTAACACAGGCTGCTAATTTTTTGTTGTTGTTCAGATGAGGTTTTGCCACATTGTCTAGGCTGGTCTTGAACTCCTGAACTCAAGTGCTCTGTCCACCTCAGCCTCCCAAAATGTTAGTATTACAGGTGTGAGCCACTGCACCTGGCCTAACATTTACTTTCCGTATTGCTTTTTTGTGTTGCTGTATCAAAAGCTTTGAAATAAAATTTTTACAATAGTGTAAAAAAACTAGTTAGCTATTACACATCAAAAAGCCCACAACAGAAAGAAACCTGACTGAGATCAAAGATGGCCAATTAGACACAACTCCAGCACGCAAGATCCAATGAGAGAGACACAGAAATCCAGAGACTTCCTAGCTCCAATCAAGGTACCAGGTGCATTTCAATGGGTCTGGTCTGATGGTGAGCAAAGCCCACTCAGGGCAACTGAGGCAGGGAGGGGTGCTGCTTCACCCAGCAAGTGCATCTGACCTGCAAGTCAGAGGCTCCCCTCTCGCACTCCAGTCCAGATACAGCGCTTCTCCCAAAGCCTCAGCAATACACAGAACAGGGGATCTTTGCTAGTCAAGGGCTGGGAATTACCAGCAAAGAGTTGAATAAGAGCTCGCAGACTGAACTATTGCCCCCTACCTCCGCAAGGAGAGAGAGAGAGCTGTAATCAGGAGCAGCTGAGCAGGCCCCTACCCCATGACCAGAGAGAGAGGAAGCTGAAAGGGGGAGACTGCCGGGTGAAGCTCGGAGGGTCCCTACCCTCCTTCACAAACCCCAGAGGGCTGAAGCTCTGACTATTTGGTTGTGCAGCTAGTGCCACGGTCTGAGATGAACTCTGAATGATCCAGCCCAGTGGAGGAAGGGCACAATCCACCACTAGGGGGTGGGACTGGGCTACATGTTTTAACAAAAAACACAGGAAGCCTACATGGCAACAGGACGGCATTCTTGACAACCCAGCAGCCCCTACAGGTCAGTGGAAGAGGCGTGCCTAATCTCCCAGTATAAACAAAAAAGACATAGGAAGCTTGCCTAGTAACCTGAAGGAGTCCCTAAACCCAGTAGCGCCTCCACAGGCAGACAAGCAACTTCATTAAGCAGCTCCCTGACCACACAGCCAGGTAAATCCACAAAGATGGGAAAAAACCAGTGCAAAAACAAGAAACCATCAAAGACCAGAACACCTCTTCTCCTTCAAGGGATTATAACTCCTCAACAACATGGGATCACAGCTTGACCAAGGAGTGTAATGAATGGACAGAAATAACCTTCAGAAGGTGGATAATAACAAACTTTTCTGAGCTAAAGGAACATATTCTAACTCAATGCAAAGAAACCAAAAACCTTGAAACAAGGTTGGACGAAACGCTAACTAGAATAACCAGCTTAGAGAAGAACATAAATGACTTGATGGAGTTGAAAAGCACAGCACAAGAACTACATGAAGCAAACACAAGTTTAAATAGCTGAATTGATCAAGCAGAAGAATATCAGAGATTGAAGATCAACTCAATGAAATAAACAGAGAAGGCAAGACAAGAGAAAAGAGTGAAAAGACATTAATAAAGCCTCCAGAAATATGGGATTATGTGAAAAGACCTAACCTACACTTGATTGGTGTACCTGAATATGATGAGGAGAATGAATCCAAGCTGGAAAACACGCTCCAGGATTATTACCCAGGAGAACTTCCCCAACCTAGCAAGGCAGTCCAAATTTCAAATTCAAGAAATACAGAGAACTCCACAAAGATATCCTCAAGAAGAGCAACCCCCAAGGCACATAATCGTCAGATTTACCAGGGTTGAAATGAAGGAAAAAATGCTAAGGGCAGCCAGAGAGAAAGGTCGGGTCACCCACAAAGGGAAGCCAATCAGACTCACAGCAGATCTCTTGGCAGAAACCCTACATGCCAGAAGAGAGTGGGGGGCCAATATTCAACATCCTTAAAGAAAAGAACTTTCAACCCAGAATCTCATATCCAGCCAAACTAAGCTTCGTAAGTGAAGGAGAAATAAAATCCTTTACAGACAAGCAGTTACTGAGAGATTTTGTCACCAGAAGACCTGCCCCACAAGAGCTCCTGAAAGAAACACTAAACACAGAAAGGAACAAGTACCACTGCAAAAGCACACCAAATGGCAAAGACCAAAAATGCAATGAAGAAAATGAGTCAACTAACGGACAAGAAAACCAGCCAGTAACAAAATGGCAGGATCAAATTCACACAAAATATAAACATGGAATATAAATGGCCTAAATGCCCCAATCAAAAGACACAGACAGGCAAACTGGATAAAAAGTCAGAACCCATCAGTGTGCTGTACTCAGGGAACGCATCTCACATACAAAGACACACATAGACTCAAAATAAAGTGATAGAAGGTGATTTACCAAGCAAATGGAGAACAAAAAAAGGCAGGGGTTGCAATCCTAATCTCTGATAAAATGGACTTCAAACCAACAAAGATCGAAAGAGACAAAGAAGGACACTACATAATGGTACAAGGATCAATCCAACAGGAAGACCTAACTGTCCTAAATACATACGCCCCAACACAGGAGCATCCAGATACATAAAGCAAGTTCTTAAAGACCTAAAACGAGATTTAGACTCCCACACAATAATAGTGGGAGACTTCAACACTCCACTGTCAATTTTAGACAGATCAATGAGACAGAAAATTAACAAGGATATCCAGGTCTTGAATGCAGAGCTGGACCAAGGGACCTAATAGACATATACAGAACACTCCACCCCAAATCCACAGAATATACATTTTTCTCAGCACCACATTGCACTTACTCTAAAATTGACCACATCATTGGAAGCAAATCACTCCTCAGCAAATGCAAAAGAACAGAAATCATAACAAACAGTCCATCAGACCACAGCACAATCAGACTAGAACTCAGGATAAAGAAACACACTCAAACCCACACAACCACTTGGAAACTGAACAACTTGTTTCTGAGTGTCAACTGAATAAACAATGAAATAAAGGAAGAAACAAAGACGTTCTTCAAAACCAACCAGAATGAAGACAAACTTACCAGAATCACTGGGACACCTTTAAAGCAGTATCAAGAGGGAAATTTATAGCAATAAATGCCCACATGAGAAGCAAGAAAAAATCTAAAATTGACACTCTGCTGTCAAAATTGAAAGAGCTGGGGGAGCAAGATAAAAAAAAAAAACTCAAAAGCTAGCAGAAGACAAGAAATAACTAAGATCAGAGCAGAACTGAAGGAGATAGAGACACAAAAAGCCCTTCAAAACATTAATAAATCCAGGAGCTGGTTTTTTGAAAAGATCAACAAAATAGATGGGCTGTTAGCCAGATTAATAAAAAAGAAAAGGGAGAAGAATCAAATAGATGTAATAAAAAACGATAAAGGGGGTATCACCCTTGATCCCACAGAAATACAAACTACCATCAGAGATTACTACAAACAGTTCTATGCACATAAACCAGTAAACCAGGAAGAAATGGATAAATTCCTAGACACTTGTATTCTACCAAGACTAAACCAGGAGGAAGTTGAAACCCTGAATAGACCAATAACAAGGGCTGAAGTAGAGGCAGCAATCAATAGCCTACCAACCAAAAAAAGTCCAGGTCCAGATGGGTTCACAGCTAAATTCTACCAGACATACAAAGAGGAGCTGGTTCCATTCCTTCTGAAACTGTATCAAACAATACAAAAGGAAGGAATCCTCCCTAACTCATTTTATGAGACCAACATCATCCTGTTATCAAAACCAGGCAGAGACTCAACTAAAAAAGAAAACTTCAGGCCAATATCCATGATGAACATCTTTGCAATAATCTTCAATAAAATACTGGCAAACAGATTGCACAGCACATCAAGAAGCTTATCCATCATGACCATATAGGCTTCATCCCAGGGATGCAAGACAGGTTCAACATACCCAAATCCATAAATGGAATCAAAGACAAAACCACATGATTATCTCAATAGATGCAGAGAAGGCCTTTGACAAAATTCAACAGCCCTTCATGCTAAAAACTTTCAATAAACTAGGTATTGAGGAACATACCGTAAAATGATAAAAACTGTATATTACAAACCTACAGCCAATATCACACTGAACAGGCAAAAGCTGGAAGAATTCCCTTTGAAATCTGGCACTAGACAAGGATGCCCTCTCTCACCAATCCTATTGAATATAGTATTGGAAGTTCTAGTCAGAGCAATCAGGCAAGAAAAAGAAATAAAGGGTATTCAATTAGGAAAAGAGGAAGTCAAATTGTCTCTATTTGCAGATGACATGATTGTATATCTAGAAGACCCCATCGTCCCAGCCCAAAATATTCTCCAACTCATAAGCAACTTCAGCAAAGTCTCAGAATACAAAATCAATGTGCAAAAATCAAAAGCATTCCTATATACCAATAAGAGACAAACAGAGAGCCAAATCAAGAGCAAACTACCATTCACAATTGCTACAAGGAGAATAAAATACCTAGGAATACAACTAACAAAGGATGTAAGGACCTCTTCATGGAGAACTACAAACCACTGCTCAATGAAATAAGAGAGGATACAAACAGGTAGAGCAACATTCCATGCTCATGGTTAGGAAGAATCAATATCATGAAAATGGCCATACTGCCCAAAGTAATCTATAGATTCAATGCTATCCCCATCAAGCTACCATTGACCTTCTTCACAGAACTGGAAAAAAGCACTTTAAACTTCATATGGAATCACAAAAGACCCCGCATAGACAAGACAATCCTAAGCAAAAAGAACAAAGCCAGAGGTATCACAATGCCGGACTTCAAACTATAGTACAAGGCTACAGTAATCAAAGCAGCATGGTACTGGTACCAAAACAGAGATATAAACCAATGAAACAGAACAGAGACCCCAGAAGAAACACCACACTTCTACAACCATCTGATCTTTGACAAATGCGGCAAAATAAGCAATGGGGAAAGGACTCCATATTTTATAAATGGTTTTGGGCAAACCGGCTAGCAATGTGCAGAAAGCAGAAACTGGACCCCTACCTGTCACCTTACACTAAAATTCACTCCAGATGGATCAAAGATTTAAATGTCAAACCGAACACCATAAAAACACTAGAAGAAAATGTACGGAAAACCATCCAGGACATAGGCATAGGCAAGGACTTCATGACTAAACCACCAAAAGCAATGGCAATAAAAGCCAAGATAGACAAATGGGATCTAATTAAATTCCAGAGCTTCTGTACAGCAAAAGAAACCATCATTAGAGCAAATCAACAACCAACAGAATGGGAAAAATTTTTGCAATCTACCCATCTGACAAAAGGCTAATATCCAGAATCTACAAGAAACTAAAACAGATATGAGAAAAAGACCAAACAACTGCATTCAAAACTGGGCAAAAGATATGACCAGACATTTTTCAAAAGAAGATATATATGAGGCCAACAAACATATGAAAAAAAGCTAATCATCACTGGTCATTAGAGAAATGTAAATCAAAACCACACTGAGATATCATCTCATGCCAGTTAGAATGGCAATCATCAAAAAATCTGAAGACAACAGATGCTGGAGAGGATGTGGAGAAATAGGAACACTCTTACACAGTTAGTGGGTGTGTAAATTAGTTCAAACACTGTGAAAGACAGTGTGGTGATTTCCCAAGGATCTAGAAATAGAAATTCCATTTGACCCAGCAATCCCATTACTGGGTATATACCCAAAGAACTATAAATCATTCTACTATAAAGACACATGCACACGAATGTTCACTGCAGCCCTATGTACAATAGGAAAGACCTGGAACCAATCCAAATGCCCATCAATGATAGACTGGACAAAGAAAATGTGGTACAGATACATTGCGGAATACTACACAGCCATAAAAAATGATGAGTTCGTGTCCTCTACAGGGACTCGGATGAATCTGGAAATCATCATTCTC